GTCATATAATGTCATAAGGTATACAATCCAATAAAAACGGAGTATTCATTATATGCCAAAATGCTTCTCAATCGGATTTAATTATTGCTTCAGTGCTAAAAGTCTTTGCAAGCTAGTAATATCAAAAAGAATATCAAAATAAAGGAATATGATTTTAAATTACGGTATATTTCCTGTATATATTATTAAAATGAGGATTAATTCGGTATATTTTTGAGGGTCGTGCGGTATATTTGATAGATAAATGCGCGGTTACACTGCCGACCGATTTTATGCGGAATTAGTGGAGGAAATTGCAATATTGATAAGAAACAACATTACTTAATTTGCCAGCGAGGCGTACAACAAGCCAATCTCTTGAGACCATTAACCATAAATTGCTTATCAGTCCGAATGAGGCATTAATCGGCTCTCGGGCACAGCAGCAGCGTTCAAAATTCATCGTGTGCCGCTGCAGTCGTGGTGTTTTGTTATTGAAGCAAAATAAAAAAATATAAAACAAGATTAAAAATAAACCACCACCTATTCGGTTCAGTTTTCGGGCAGGCTGACGCACTCGGAAAAAAATGCATGTTCCGCTGGTGAACGAGTCTCCGTCGCCGTCGCACAAGTGCAGGGAAAAGTGCGACTAATTGTATTCGCCACATAAACTATAGTATAAAAGCGGAATTGGAAAATTAGGTCGTCGTTTGTTGTTGCTCTTGGAATCAAAATTATTTGGTAAGTTTCGCTGTCAGGCCAGACCAATGATTAGCTTACAGTTTCCATTAACTTGCAGTGGCTTGGCTTAAAAGTTAAAACAATCGGACGGACGGACCACGGGCCCAAAGAGAAGTCAACAAAAACGACTTTGAGAGAGAGACGAGGCGACGCACACGAAATAATTATAACAACACGTTCAAAGTGAAGGTCAACGTCACAACGGCGACGACTAAGGCAACGACACCAGCGGCAACTCCGGCTGCCGAAAACCAAAGTGAACGGCGCCTTCCCTCGAGCTAGCGATTTTCAGCCTGGGCAACCCCTCCATAACCACATCCACTGCAGCACAATGTCTCCGACAGGCATGTCCAAATCCACATCCATACCCTTCTCCTCCGCCCAGCGGCTGGTGTTCACATTCCTACTGGCCCTGCTCATCATGGTCGCCAGTGTACTCAGCAGTGACACCGCCATGCCGACACAAAACATGTCCCATAAGGAGAGAACGGAGCTAAGGTAAGAGTCAAGGATAGTCAGGGTGCCTAAATGATATTCATCATACTATTATTTTTCGGTCTTTGTTTTTACAGGGAAGAGGCGCGCGACATGTTCTACCATGCGTATCGTGCGTACATGGAAAACGCCTATCCAGCCGACGAGCTGATGCCTCTCTCCTGCAAAGGGCGCTACCGGGGCGTGACACCCTCACGGGGCGACATGGATGACATACTGGGAAAGTGAGTGTGGAAATGAGCGCAAGTTGAGCTCGAAATGTAATTATGGATGTGTGTTGCAGTTTCTCCATGACCCTGGTGGATACTCTGGATACCCTGGTGCTGCTCGGTGACTTTACAGAGTTCGAGCATGCCGTCAAATTGGTCATTCGTGATGTCCAGTTCGACAGCGACATCATTGTGTCGGTGTTTGAGACAAACATTCGGATGGTGGGCGGCCTGCTGTCGGCTCACATTCTCTCCGAGTACCTGCAGAAGCAGGTGGACGTGATGCACTGGTACAAGGGCGAGCTGCTGGAGATGGCCCGCGAGCTGGGCTATCGTCTGCTGCCGGCGTTCAATACGTCCACAGGGATACCGCATGCGAGGGTAAACCTGCGCAACGGCATGAAGGATCCCATGCTGAAGAAGTCACGCGAGACATGCACGGCCTGTGCCGGCACGATTCTGCTGGAGTTTGCTGCCCTGTCGCGTCTCACAGGGGATCCCATATTTGAGGTGCGCGCCCATGCCGCCATGGATGCGCTGTGGAAGCTGCGCCATCGCGGCTCAGATCTGATGGGCACCGTCCTGAACGTCCACTCCGGCGATTGGGTGCGCCGCGACTCGGGCGTGGGTGCCGGCATCGACAGCTACTACGAGTATTTGTTTAAGTCGTACGTCCTGCTTGGCGACGACAAGTATCTGGCGCGTTTTAATCGCCACTACAATGCCGTGATGAAGTACGTCAGCGAGGGACCCATGCTGCTGGACGTGCTAATGCACAGGCCGCACGCCAAGTCCAGGAACTTCATGGACTCACTGCTGGCCTTCTGGCCGGGCCTCCAAGTACTGTCTGGTGATCTGAAGCCAGCAGTGCAGACCCACGAGATGCTCTACCAGGTGCGTTAATCAGTTTTAATTACTTTGAAATATGTTATTGATTATGTTTACTCTTTGAAATAGGTCATGCAGATGCACAAGCTCATCCCGGAAGCATTTACCGTGGACTTTCAGATCCATTGGGGCCAGCACCATCTGCGGCCCGAGTTCATTGAGTCCACGTACTTTTTATATCGCGCCACGGGCGACCACCACTACCTGCAGGTGGGCAAGCGAGCGCTGAAGACTCTGCAACAGTATGCCAAGGTCTCCTGCGGCTATGCGGCTGTGAATGATGTGCGGACGGGCAAGCACGAAGATCGCATGGACTCGTTCGTCCTATCCGAGACATTCAAGTATCTGTTTCTCCTGTTCTCCGAGCCGCAGGATCTGATCATCAATGTGGATGAGTTTGTCTTCACCACGGAAGCACATCTGCTGCCCCTGTCGATTGCACAGCTAGGGAATGCCACGTTTAGTGAGTGCTCTCGGGGATCTCTTAAAGATTATATGTTACTTATAGAATCCCCCTACAGGCTTTCGGCAATCGGACGAGCACAATGTACTCGACTTCATGCGCACCTGCCCCAGCTCCAATAAGCTTTTTCCTGAGAAAGTACGCAAACCATTGCGCAACTTCATTACGGGCTCGTGTCCGCGCACCAGCAGTGGCAAGCGACTCAGCGCCCTGGATTTTCAGGCAAGCAATGCGGATCATTTGCGAGCTGTTTACGACATGGGCATCACCATGGTTTCGGTAGGGGACCGCAGCCAAGGCAAGGTGCGACTGTTTCATAGTTTCTATAATGTAAGTTTTTCGTTCTGTTTTGCACTTTTTATTTTTCCTCTTTTGTTTTGGTTGCGTTTCAACATTATAAGTAATGCCTCCTCTCCTCGCTTTACTGGTTGTTATCATAACCTATATTCTGTCCACCCAAAAACAGGCCAAGAGTCACGAGGAGGGAGAAATGGGACTGCAGTTTATGCAGGAAATGCTGGAGCTAACAAAGATTCAGAGCATGAATCAGTTGGCGCAGTTGCAGGTGAGTAAATGAGTCCATTAAAAGCTAAAATAAATATATTTCCATAATTTTAAAGGCCGTGGCTTATGCCACTGATGAGAAGCTTCAGGATTGGACTGCTCTGATGGCCGGACCTTCGCACTTTAGTCCAGAGCTGATTGGTGAGCAGTTTGTGGAGGGCGACGTCATACTGGCCAATCCGTTGCGAGCCTGCGGCGAGAAACTCAATCAGGTGGAGGATGGCGCTGATGATGCGAGGGGCAAGGTTCTGGTGGCCGAACGCGGCGATTGCACTTTTGTCAGCAAGGCACGACTGGCGCAAAAGGCCGGCGCTGTGGCTTTAATTGTCTGTGATAATGTACCAGGTTCTTCCGGCGAGACGCAACCGATGTTTGCCATGTCCGGCGATGGCACCGACGATGTACTCATACCCGTGGTCTTCATGTACAACGTGGAGTTCAATAAACTGGCGGCGGTAATGAAGCGGCGCGAGCACCCGCTCCGTGTGCGGATCATGCAAATGGTGGAGTTCAAGCGCTGGCAACTGGCCAAAGAGGGGCGGCAGAACGGCACGACGGCATCGGCCCAAAAGCCGGACAGGGAATTGTAGTGGCTGCACTCCACCCACCCCACCGTAAACGCTTCAGCTTCAGCGGCTCCCGAAAGTGGCTTTCGCAAATCCCCTATTTGAAAGAATATCAATGGAAATTTCAACATTCGTAATTTGTACATTTTGGCCGCTTAGTCGCAACTATATTATAAAATTGTTGTACTTTACTAGACACGTAAGGATACCCCCCCGCACACCCGTAAACGGAACCACTTGAGCTAGCCGTAAATTTTAGTACTTTCCTCTTCGGGAGAGTTTTTTTTTCTTTCATTTGCATTTTGTGATTCGGTTCGGCACAACTCTCTCAGGTTGGCAATTGGCTTTCAAGTAGCTGCAACTATTGCCGGGCCGATCGAACAACTTCAGATATTACCCACACACATGGTACATACACTGTACGAGTGTAGTTCCGCAGCTTCCCCTTCCAATTTTTATATCGAGTTTTACTTTCCGTGTAAGTAAATCTTTTGTACATACAAACATTAGATGTTAGTAGAAAAAAAAAGTACTAATTAGTGTTTAGTTTTAAGCGCAACTAGATTACTAAGTAATAAGTCGATAACGAGAAGCCAATCTGTAGTTGAAATTGTTAAGTTCATATACCAAAATAGTTTAAAATATACGAGAATTTGATAAAACCAAACCAATTCCTCTCTCTTGTGATTCGTGTGCATGAATCAAATGTAAAAAGTCTTAGGATTCCCCATTTTTGACTCGCTGATCTTCCCCTACAAACTCTTTGGCGAGAGGGAAGAGTCGAGAAGGAAACAATAATTATACAGTTATAGATATATTTGAAAGGGGATCCATTTAATGACATTCGGCTTGTGGTTTCCATTTTGGTTTTTTTTAGTCACTTAACTTATTGTATGACACTCATTTCTACTGCTAGACTCGGTTCCATTTCGCGAGCAGTAGATCAAATGTAGATACTATTTCTATACTTAGGAGCTAGAACTACTTTGACTAATTTTCAATATGTCTAGAGTTTTGTTTTCCTTTAAGAAAAGTTCAAGTTCAAATTAAAAAAATTAAAAAACGAAAACGCCAATGAAATAAAAAACACTTAGATGATACAAAATGGATGACTTAATTAAGGCCGACTTAGAATTAGGACTTAGACTAGAGGGGATGGGAGTAGAGTGAACTAATGATGTATCGGATATTACATACCTTCAAATATATAAACGACGAGTGGGTCAGGGTTTGGGTGTGGGTTGTGGTTGTACATCTGTGGGATTTATGAATATTACATTTCAGATTTAGACGCCATTACAAATCGCTCAAGGGACAGGGACAGATGAGGCTGAGGCACTCTTGTGGGGTTCATACTGGTACGGGCATGGACAGGATTGAAGCAGCTAAAGACATGGGCGACTGGCTGCTGTTCATAATCTGTTGCTGCTGCTGCACGGCCAGTTGCAGCATGTGGTTGGCGATGCTGTCTACGGTGAGGGTGCGCTGTGTCATCTCGATAACCTGAGACTTGTGGCGCGCATAGAACCGCAGCGAACCATTGCCCTGCGGTGCCACGTACGTCAACTGCCTGGGATCGGCGGAACTTATCCAAATCTCATCGCCTGTGATGGCCTTGAGGATCAGGTGATCGCCCGTGTTGACGGCCTGAAGTTGCTCATTGAACTGTGGTGCGGGCAGACGGTGAACCTGCAGCAGACGATGCGAGGGCGTCGCATGCGACAGCTCGCAGGCAATTACGTGCACCTCGGAGGGTTTGTCCGACTGCTCATGCGACTCGATGTGCTGATAGAGGACCAGTATGCTGCTCTGGTCCATGTCGAAGCTGGGATAGTGCATGGCGGTCAGGCTGCGGCCCAGCGGGCAGCAGAGGTCATAGTTCATCAGCGTGTCTCCGCTGCGATGGTCCCAGATCGTGATGCGCGTCTGACCATAGCCAATAAGGCGATCCTCCGTGAGGCACTCAATGTGCTTCAGTTCGTGGCGCAGCTGCTTGAACTCGCGTATCGAGGCCAGCGTGTCCAGCGTGGGCGTCAGCGAGTACTTGCAGATGCCAGAGCGTGGCTTACCCATAACTACCTCCTGCTGCCAGGCTACCACAAAGTAGCGAGACTCTGTAATGCTTGTGAAAATCACATGTGAACCGTCACTACAGTAGCAAAGAGAGGAAACATCAATGATAGTTGTTGGATTATTGTATTTTAATTTGCAAGACTCACCAGCTGACCGCATCCAGGTGCACGGAATGCATCTTGGGACGCAGCTCCTCCTCGCAGTAGTAGTAAATGTTCACGTGCAGTGAAGTCAGCGTGACTTCCCGCTTGTGGTGGTCTAGCGGATGGCAGCGCATCTCCACGTACACAGGCGTCGAGTTGTGCACGCAAAGCCTGTTCCCGAACGGCGCAAACACCTCAGCGTCTGTAAAGGGAGTTAAAGTAGAAATTAGGAAAGATATAGAAAAGATATATCATGTGGATTACCATTTGTAATGCGCCTCAGTTTGCCCAGATTCACCCAACGCGGGCCACGTTCAAAGTCTTCATCTGCATGAGATTGCTCAGATTCGGTGGCTTGCGATTCGGTGCCTTGGCCACCTGAAAGTATCGAGTGTGTGGATGCTCCAGTGTTCTGTGCCGCGGTGGAGTTTGGGCTTCGTGGCTTGTGCAAGACATTGAAGACCTTCGAGTATTTCCAAAAGCTGACGCAGTGCTCCTGCAGTACTATCAGCTGGTCCAGCTCATAGTAGATGTACAACACCTTGCCGTGTTTGCCCGCCAGCGGGTTGCTTAACATACGAGATCCATCGCTCAGTCGCACCATGCCACCGGGGGGAAGGGCACGATTTATGTCGGTATATAGTCCGGAAGTTTCCGTTTGTTGCGACGGCCGACGACGTGAGAAATGTAGCTCCTTCTCTGGTTCCTTCTTTCCGCCTTCTGTTCTGCCCATTGGCTGATAGATCAATGCGGGTTTGGACAAACTTGCATACTGGGCTTGGGCATGGGCATGGGCATAGTTTGAACTGTTTTTTTGACTATATTGGGTATAGCCCGAGGGATTGGCCTGCATGTAAAGCTCTTGTGGCTCTTGTTGTTTAGCAAATTGACGGGAACTTAACATATAGCGACCCACTAGGTCCTTAGCTGGGGATATAGGCGCGTGGGTTGCGAAAAACCCTTGGGAATCGTCCATCAAGCCATGGATTTGAAGTGGATCAGCAGTAACATGCATTAAACTGGATAAGTGGGCAGCTGGCAAAGGGCCTGCCGCAGTTTGAACAGACGCCTTGGTCTCAGCCCCTGGTAGAGTCTGAGCTCGCTCACGCCTGGCGCTCTTTGGGAGTGTAACCCCAGCATCTACTGTCAAAGCGTTGGTGTCCCTTGCTGCCATATTTGTTGGAGTGTGCGGTGGTGTAGCAGGAGCCGTCTGCTGCTGCTCGAGGCGATGCTGTTCGGGCAACTTCTTCTCCTGGGTGTCGGTGGGTTCCGGTGGTTTCTTTGCGTTGCCCTTGGCCGATTTCTTTGCGGCTGCTCTTGCGGCGGTGCCGCCGCTTAGTCGTTTGCCCTTGCCCTGAGCAGCCGTATCCGTGAGGGCATAGCTCTTCAGCAGATTGACCTTTCTATTGCGCAGCAGCTTCGAATTCATGTGCGTCGTGGAGCGTGTAACCAGGTCCCGTGTGCGTGCAGGAGCGCCCGCTTTAGGGGTGGTTGCTGCACCCGCCGTGGTCCTTGGTTTCTTGCTTTCCGGTTGACTCTTACGGGGAGCCTTGGAGGTTTGCGCTTGGTTTTTAGTTAGCTTTGGATTGTACTTCAACTGGGTTCTGTCTGGGCTGGAGCTCTCCAGAGAGGGACGCGGCCCGTCATAGCTCGTAGTTTCGACAATGCGCTTGGGAGAGGACGTCAGCGTTCGCGCTCGTGTACGCTGCTTTGGTGATGACTCTGGCAGCACTTCTGGCGGTGCATTGCTCATCGCTTCGACAATGTAGATGGATGGCTTCGACTCACGTGCCTGTCGCAAGCGCTTCTGCATGCACTCCAGCCTCACCACTTCAGACCTGGAGCATCTGTTGTCCTCCGCTCGCTTGAGGCTCTGCTGCTGCAAGGTCTCCAGCAACTGGTCCTGGGTGGGTGTGGGAGCAGCACAGATCTGGGCAAAGACCTGCGCATCAACCAAATCAGACTTTAAGCATCTATTGTCAGCATTCTCCTCCGCTTCCTGGTCCTCCGCATCGGAGGCTAATGGGCGATCGCCCTGTGCCCTATAGTATTGGTCGTACTCGTGTGTGGACTGGCGCTGCTCTTCAGCGGCTGCAGCTGTGCCTTGCTCTTCTGTGCTCTGCTCACTGCTGGTGTTCAACGCTACATTTTGTTGTAGCTGAAGCTGAAGCTGCTGCTTTCTCTCCTTCCGCTTGCCACGCACATCGCTGCGCATCCTGTCCAGCTGCTCCTGCGGCCGCACTCTCAGCGAGCGTCGAGCCACCGTGCTGTTGGCCAGCTCCCGCATGGCTGTGGCCACCGCATTGGCCGTGGACATCTCCGTAAGTCCCAGATAGTTGCAGAACTCTTGCTGCTCGTAGAACATGGCATCGTTGGGGCAATCGCCAAAGGCGACAGCATTCAGTCCAGCCCTCATGCCATGCGACACATCTATGGGGAAAACAAAGGATGATTAGATTACATAATGGTTTCCCGCTCGAATTATACTCTTACCGAATGGAGGAAGGAGACTCTCCTCAAATCGGGAATGTTGCTGCTCCAGCAGTAGCTCCTGTTGCTGTTTCGTCACCTTCTTTCCCATCATTCCAAAGACAACGTCCACCAGCTCACGGTCAGCTGCAGTTTCCGTGGATATAATGGCTGGTGGCATGTCATTCATTGCCTGTGCTTCGGGTGCGGCAGCAGGGGCTGGAGATTCTGCGGAGGCAGTGGATACTGAGGCCACTGGCAGCGGTGCCAGATCTGCTGTGGAAGTTTCCTTTGTGGCCAGTCGCTGGACTGATGTCTGCGTCTGAATTGTCTTCATGTCGGGTGCGATTTTGGGCCCCTCCTCCTCCTCCTCCTCCTCCTGCTGCTGCTGCTGTTGCAGTTCTTCCTCCTGCACCGAGGTGAGTGCCTGCAGTTCAACCTCCGGTGTGAGGGTGACAACAGACGGATTGTCTCCGCCCACCTCGTAGCAATCGTCCTCGTCATCGTCGAGAACAATGGTATCCTCTGTGTGCAGCACATGCAGCTGTCGTCGCTGAATGAGAGGCTTCTCCTGAGCGGACGTTCCTTGACTGGGGCTGGCCCGGCCATGGTCCACTGTCGACTGGGCTGGACTCCGCATGAACTGGCGGTTGACCTTTTCCATATTTCGCTCCAGTGTCTCGCGAAACTCGTTGAAGCTGTGGTGTTTGGAAGCCATGGAAGCCTCGTGCTGCTCAAAGTTGGCTTGAAAGTTCTCTACATCCTCGACAGCCTCACAGTCGTGGGTGGTGGCCATCTCCCAGGTCGCCACCTTCTCGCTGAGACTCATCTGCGGCTGTGCCTGACAAATGGTCGCCAGACGCCGGTCCATGGCCTCCGCGAAGAGAGTGTTCTTCAGCAGTGGCGGATACTTGCGCTTAGCTGGCTGCATTTTTCTATGTCGATCGTCCTCGCCCAGGCCCAGATCGTCATCGTAGTCGAAGTTGTCGCTGCCATTGGGCGTGGACGAGGAGCTATTTGGAAACTGTGTGGGGCTGCTGTGCTCGGGCTGCTCCTCCTCAATGTCGCTGATGACTATTGGCTGCTCTGCGTCCATCTCTGGGACATGCTCTAGAGGTAGCTCCTGCTCCAAGGGAAGCTCTTCCTCCAGGGGAAGCTCCTGCTCCAGGGGAAGCTCCTGCTCGAGCTGCAGCTGATGATGATGATGACGGTGCTCCTGCTGGTTATTATCCTCTTCCTCGCCCTCGTTGTCGTGGTCTTCCAGCTCGTGGTCGTACACCTGACATATATCGGGGCGCTCTTCCTCCAGTGGAGTGTCGTCCACAAAGTTTGCGTTCTCATGCTCATTGTCATTGTGCGCCTCCTCGCCCTCGCCCTCATCTTCTTCGACCAGCTCATGATGATGGACCATGGGCTGGTCCAGGGCCGCATCGCTCAGATAAACATTGTTGCCGGCCTCCATGCGCGTCTCCTCCTCATCCTCGTCCCCTGCCACGCCATCGATGTAGCCCGAGCCGTTCAAATGATGCCGGAGAAGCGCTCCATTGCCGGACATAAGGTAGGCCTGCTCGTTCTGAGTGGAGACTATTATCTCGCAGCAGTGCTCCTCGGCTAGGACAATTTCGCCGTCCACATCCTCGTAGACAACACACTGCTCGGTGCCGCTTGGATCAACCATTTCTAGAGCTTGTTCCTCGGAATGCGGCAAAATCTCAAACATATGAGAGTCGACGAGGCTGCCGTTGGTCAGCAGAACTCCTGGATTTGCGGATACCGATTGCATAAAGACCACACCCGAGTCTGTGGCCTCCTCTGGAGAATCTAAAAAGGAATGCAGTTAGCACAAAAACCATGTGCTTAAGATTGGGGAAAAACTAACCATTAATTTCGATTATTTCACAGCTCATTCGCGCCCTTTTGGGTGGCGTGCAGGCCGAGTAGTGTGCAGCTTGTAGATCTTCGCCCTGTGACTGCGATATTGTGCGAATGAGTCCGTAGACGCCATGGTCCACGTTCTCCACTGTGGAGGGGTCGTCCTTTTCGGGCCAGCCATGAAGCTCGGTGCCATCGCTCGATATTAGACTGCAAATCTCGGAGTCGTCGGAGATTATGTGCAGCAGGCTGTCCACAGCAGGGTCCAGCAGTTGCTGCTCATTCGCGTTGTGTTCCCGGCTAAAGTGGGCCCGTTCTTCATTGGCCGCTTCACCGCCCAGAGGGCCTGGGCCGACTTGTGCTTGTTCCACCGATACGCCACCTCTCGACGCGATGATGTCGAGCCAGCGCTCCTCTGCCTGCGCGTAGGCCCTGTCCCGCCTGGACATTGTATTAATTCACGACGAATCGATTAAACTTGGAGGATTGAATAATGGTAGCAATTGTGGAATATTTTTTTTGGGAAACTACACGTGAAATTTAAAAATCTTTGCTCAACTCTATGTACGAGATAAAAAATAATGTCTGAACTGCGAATGGCTGCACAACATGATTGTCGACGCCCGCCTTGTTAGGATATTTTTGTGCGTGTAGCAACGCACATAGTTCGTGTATTTTTTGGCAGCAACAAATTATTTTTATTTCTTGTGATTACTTTTAATTACACCTCTAATTTTCTTATTTTGTTATCGTTCCTGCCAAAGGTCGTTACATAACACTGGCCCTTTTGACGAAACATTTGATTGGCTGAAAGTGAAAAAAGTATACAAGTTTTTTTTCGACATAGAATTTCAAAGTACATGGCGGGATGGAATGTAATAAGAAGTAAATCTTAAGATCTTCAAGGCAATGTTCTGGGCAGGGAGTTGATAAATATAAGAATATAATTTGATAATAAGTCCGCCGCCAGAATGTCTCAAAATTTTGGAAACAACGAACACTTCTTTTTCCAGAGCCCCCAATTCCCGGGGGGAGGTCCATGCATGTCCGAACAATTTTGCCAAAGACCTACATACCTAACATCAGGCTTGAGGACGGGCAGCACAGACACACATGCCAGCAAGGAAAAGACCAACGACAACTCTTTATCCATGCACTCTATGATGACTCTGTCAAAGACAACGGACAACCGTCTTACTTCAAAAGATTTGTCAAACTCCCTCAGGGATTCGCAGATGCGCCAGGGTTTGTTTATGCACAGCAGTGTCCAGGTCACTGCAACAACATGCGACACACTAAGGCTTGCTATCTTATTGAAAAGCCATAGCCAAAAGCTTTTTCGCAGAGACTACAAAGCCTTTGCCCTTTGACAGGACATCAAAAATGCCCGGAAGCATGTTTGAGAAACACTCGCCTAGTGCCTCTATGCAAAAACGGCTGTACTGGAATTAGTATGGGATAACTAAATAACATTCAATTTTAAAATTATTTTTAAATTTAATTATTGATTTCCCTCTCAATTGTATTGCTTTAAATCAAGTACGTATTGTCTTGAAGATTCTAATATTTAAGATTCTTCCTACTTCCCGCCAATTATTTTGAAATAAATACTCAAAAATAAATACTTTTAATACTTTTTCTGCGTTTTTGGAAAGTATTGCATTGTCCAGACAATGGCATTTATCGATATACGATAAATCGATACGAACACACAAGTATTGGTAAGCGCTGACAACAAATTGCGGTGCATCAAGCGACAATCTTACAAGACTTTGAAAAAAAAGTACTAGGAGATCTCTATAGACCCAGGACATATACGTGGGTGCATTGAGATTTGCAATTGAATTGCCATGAGTTCTCCGCAAGCTTCCCCCGTTTACCGTACGTCAGTAGAGCAAAAAAGGCACGCTCAAGATGTGGCCAAGAGACACCGTATGGGCATGCCGAAACTGCGCGATATGTTGCGTGAGGTAATGAAATTTATAATCCATTTCACTTAACAATTTTATTTCATTATTTGTCACTCTCAGAAGTACCGCAAGCGTATAATAGAGACTCGCACAAGACTAATAGATTCTAACCGCACAATACAATTGGTAAGTGAATGAGTGCAAACTAGAGAACTAGAGAAACATATTGAACAATCATTTTGCGCTCGCAGGATGAACTAAAAGACTTTCTTCGCACGGAACTTAGCGAGCTTGAGAAAGATCTGGAGCTGGAACAGAACCTTCTGGATGAATTACTTTCTGATGTCAACGAATGGTATGCTTTGGGTGAACAACATTTGGAAACGTACGTGGAGCCAGACGAGCCAGTGCACCAAAATATGCTGTGCCCTGTCTGCCTTCTAAAACCATTGAAACGGCAGGAAACTGTCTACCAGTGTGAGTGCGGAATTCAGTTTGAGCACACATCTAACATGGAAGAACTGGAGAAATTGCTGCAGCAACAAATTGCATCACATGAAACTAAGTGTACTCAAGCACTGCGTTTTTTTATAGAGCCTTCTACAGGTCACCTCTACAATATGTGTGGAAGCTGCGATTACTTCTCATCTGTTTAGTTTTTTGACCAGGTAATTCAGTTTATGTTAAAACCGTTCCTTTTTAATACTAAATATATTTTATATAAAAACAAACATTTCTAGATTTAATTTAATGATATCTATACAATCTGTGAAAAATGCGAATATTCCTAAGTTATAACGTTATATTTTTTGTAAACCTATTAAAAGATAGACCTTAAAATTAGCCACCATTCTACAAAATTAATACATCTAATTGTAAAAATTAAATAGTCAGTCCTCAGAGCCCTAGCCAGCTAGTAATATTAAACAGAAAAGCAAAATCGGGATAATATGATTTCATGTTCATTTATTTAAACAGAGCGGGTATATTCGATTATTTTTCTCGGTATATTTTGAAAATGAGTAGGTATATTTTAGTATTTTGAGGGTCAGACCGTATATTTAATCGATAATTCCGCGGTCACTCTGGCAGCAGATACGGCTGAACAGCTGTTCAACTAAAATCAAAAAACTTAGTGGCTTTCGAAATAAAAGTAATAGGCGTGCTCGCTATTCAGAACAAAACATAAACGAGCGCTCGAAGTGTGAACGTCGTGTCGGTTGCTCTCCGGAAAAAACAAAATATAAATTAAAAGCTAGTTTTACCCATCAATGTGCGCCTAACTCAAAGTCAAAATTAAATAGAAATTTAAAGCGGAAAATTCAATAAATCAACAATGAGTGACAAACAAGTGAACGGCTGCAGTTCTGCCAAGAGCTCCAGCAGTCACTGCAACGGCAACACCACACAAAAGCCGGAGGAAGCCCCAATCAACGGAAAAGACGTCCGCGTCTGGTGCGACGGATGGTGAGTCATTGTTGGCCAAGGGAGTGGGGACTGTCGGGAATATTCCAAACCAAGAACCTTTGGTATTTTTATGGAGTACCTTGAAAACGGTGAAATATTATCCACTAAACGTACCACTAACGGTAGTCGCTGTCTAGCTTACGCTTGCTTGCGTCACTTTATTGATATCAGGGAAGGGTGGAACGGTAATGACAGACCGGTGGACAAGTACACGTACAGTGGGTCAAAGCTAGAAATTTCACAGCGTGTGTGCACATACTGATTGCATGGCAGAATGTACGATGCATACATATGCACATATATAATTGTAGTATCCAATCCGTCCGCTATATTGTGTATATTTCAGGTTCAAGGTCAATTAGAAACGAAAGATCGCACGACATATATTATTGCCATAGTATGCACACATAGGGTATATGTATTGAGACATGCCTAGAATTTGACGCATTTTCTAGCGCTCTTAATTGCTGCATGTTCTCTTCTGCTCGTATTATTGCTTTGGGAGACTCCCTCTCTATTAGACAATTAAATGCATAGGCAAAAACCGGTTTATCTTTATCGAGAATGACGCATTCTATGGGCGATAATGCTATATGTATTAGCCTACCATAACAAGTTTTTTTATATTTGCTTTATCAGACGACTGAAATTTCCTTCCTTCAATTGTGGCTTCCGCTGAATGTCTGAGAAGCATATGTATGTATGTATACATATCTCAAAACATATTTATATCTATTGTTTATCCTCTCTGTTCTCACTCTCTCTCATGTTCCATAAAAATAACAAACAATAGCACACGCCGAAACAATATACATACCGATGTACATATGTATGTAGATGATAAAATCATCATCGTATGATTCTCTGTATGTGCACAGAGTGAGAAGCGAGATTTATTCTTACCCACTGTATCCGCCTGCTGCACGTTTCTCTTTCTATTTCTGGGGCGGGTGCGTTTACGTGGCCCTTGTTGACTGTGGCAGCCAAACATCACGTGATTGGGGTTTGCGCATGCTTCGTCCTCGTCTCCGTCCCACGCCCATTTTCCAGTTCATGGCTTGCCCAACGCCATTGACCCATCCCATTCCACGTGTAGCCTCCTCGTCGTCCGGCATTCTTTTGTGTGCATTTCGCAAATAAACTCATTGTCATTTTGCAGCAGGCCCTGAGGGCCACAAAGGGAAGGGCTTGTGTTTAAGGGAGATTCATTCAAATAAACAGGAAAAGTGCATAAAGAATATTTAAAATATCCATCAGAGTGCATTAGATACAGATCGATCTGTTTAGCATCCATTAAAAGACACCATATCCAATAATAAAACTAATGTGTCTTTGAACTCGCATAATCCCTTCACTTTTCAACTGGTTTTCCTTTGCTAAATCCGGATTGAAGTATAATAAATCACACGTACTTGTATTTCCGGGTGAATTGGGTAATCAGAGCTCTCCCTTAGACCCAATCTGGGTCGGACACCCCAAGTATCAAGTATGGAAGTCCAGCAGAACCTCTAAGGCTGATAAGCTGGCGAGGAACCCGCCAACCAATATTCAAATGGCACTATCAGCTGCTCTGTGGATGGTGGGGGGCCTCTGCAAAAAGCAAAAACAATATAAACAAGCCATTTATTTTGGTACACATTTTTCGGTGGAGGAATCCGAGAGGAATCAGCCCATTAACCCAGCCGACTCCTCGACTCTGGTCCACAAAAATTCCATCTAATCAGCAGAGATTGAGATCATTGACGCAAGCAATAAGCCTCTGCCTGCTGCCTCCTCCAACGGCACTCACTCACTCACTCACTCACTCAGTCACCTCTCTCCGATCTATTTGTCCATCAATGTCAATGAACTTGAGCTCAAAAAAGATTCAAAAACAAATGAATGATGCTCGTAATACGTGTTGTAAATGGTTCCCCTCATAGGGCTCTTGGTACCCGCTAAGACCCCCGGTTGTCAGAGCACAAATTCTACTAAGAATCGCGTGATATTTTTTTAATCAGCAAGATTCGTCGCTGTTGCTGTCGCTTGTGTCGCCGCTTGTTGCTCACTCAATTGATTAAGCGGCCCCCGAGGCCTGTTCTACATACAGAATACAATAATATATATAATATACCATGGTACTACTCGCATGTTTGTTTCCCCCGCATTCAGCACAGATTTCTTTATGGCAGAAAATCTCCGGGAGCAAAGGTTTTCCCTCTCGATTAATGAATGGCCCTCTGCAAAAAGCAGTCTGCTGCCTGTCCCTGCTCTACCGTGTGCTGTTACTATCAGCCCAATATACTACATAAATATTTATACGATTGTATGTTCCCCCCTATGGTGTACCCATGTACGTGGTAGGTTTATTTTTAGCTCTTCATTATGTTCGGATTCCGTGACGTCGTCTAGTCTCATTTAGCTTCACTTTTTATCAATACAACGGCCCAGACATTCGTCGGACCAGACACATCCAAGAGATGTACGTTTCCAAAATATACACATACTCGTCAAATGTTCTCTGTTTATTGTCAAGGTATTTTTGACAACCTTGATCTCGTATATACATGTGCGATATGGCTGGCAAACGTTAATTGTACAAATTTATTATATAATCTTAGACCTGTGTATACTCGTATATATTTTACCCACATTCGTAACGTTTTTTGTTGAAATTGCGAAATGGTTCCACCCACCTTCCACCACATATCAACCAACCAAGTCTACGATATGTACCTAACTATTTGTGGTCTAATCAGTTAGACGGAACCGATAATGGTGACGTTTCTCCCTATCATACACACATTTTCGTATGTGGTTCTTAACTATTTTGTTTCGTTTGGGTGCTTTATAATTACTACATGCCATGTACGATGTGTCACAATATTTCTGTCTGGCCTCCTTTTTTTAGACTACACCTTTGCATGTAAAGTGATTTCAGAAGCATAAGTAGGTTTATTCTTGTTTACTAACTCTAGGCATACCCTATTCTTGTGTGTGTCATCTTCTTTAATAGTCCGTTATTCTCAGAATTTGTCTCTTGTTCCATTAATGGAATAACGTAGTACTTGCTAGTGTAGTTATATCCGGTACTCGAAGGGTAATTAAAGTATATTGGATTTGTGCGAATAACGGTTGTTGTAACGCACAGATGGAAACGTCTCCGACCCCATAAAGTATATATTCTTGATCAGCATCAATAGCCGAGTCGATAGAGCCATGTCCGTCTGTCCGTCTTATTTGTCGGCTAGTTCTCAGAGACTAAAAGATCTAGAGCCACCAAATGTTGCATCCAGATGGCTGTATGCTCACACTGTTACAAACGTATTTCAAAAATGAGCCCTGCCCCCTTCCGCCCCCGCATTCTGTAGGGAATGACCATATCTATCAGATCACCAAATTGGGATCCGATTGGATTATTATTATGGCCACAATGAAGAAGTTAATTTTCAGTGGCTAAACCCACCCCGTCACTCAGCTTATATTTGCTTTTTTGCAAATTCTCTCATTCACACTCTGCTTCGCGCAGACACGTCTCTGCCTCTGCCGTGACTCTGCAGTGTGTGGCTTTAGGACTTTTTTGGCTTGAGTAGTGTGGTTGATGTAGATGACAGATGAAGAAACAATGTAACATTTGACAAATAACCGCTAGGGTGCAGATGTAGTACTGAGTGCCGGGTATAAAAGTTGTGACGCGTAAGAAGCGTCTCACACGTCCCTTCTCGTTTTTTTCTGGATTTGGGTGCAAAAATACTGAGTAAATATTTCCAAGACGTGTCACTCGATCCGGTCCATAGTTTTCGATTATTTAAATGAAAATTGCAATTCCTTAATGCACAAGTAATGCTATTTAGTAGCGTTTAGAGGCATTTTTAATGGATCGTCACGTCTGTTAAGTGCCGAGCCAATCCAAAATAGGCTCGGGGCACGTGTGTACCGTGTCTATGAAAATGGCTTTAGAATCGAAACGACCGGGAATGAATATTGGCACTCACATGTGCTATTTGTGTATGTGGACACGCTTGAGCACAATAACAATTAAAAATTGCTAAATGGCATACAGAAATCATACGTACATAGTATGTACGTATCTCTTGTTGCTCCATTCATCTCTCACCATCTCTTTTGGCTGTGTCAACAGATGATCGGGTCCAAAGTGCAATCTTGACCAATGCGGCCGCGGCGCTAAAGTGGAGCACAAAGCCGGGCTTGGGGATAGTCATCAGTCAGTCAGTCAGCCACCGGTCTCTACTGGTTGTCATTAAGCCGCGCGCCACACAACACGAGACACTTTGCTGACGCGCTTGGACTTTGCGTTGAATGGGGCGTTTTATGTAAACGATGTAGTAAATGATTTATACTATATGTAGGTACTTTCGAATGCACACAAGCCTGAGCCCGAGCACAAGTTGACGAGCCTTGTGGCGGGTCAAAAGCGACGGCTCTCAATTACTTTCAATTCTTCAGTCAATCAAAGCCTATTTATTAATTGCCACTTTGTAAGTGAACTTTCTACCTACATATCTTTATACCATTATTTAGACCAAGTTGAAAGTAACTGAGGCAAAAGTCACTTGAACCCGAGGCTCGATTGAATGCAAATCTCTTCATACTTTGTACTGGCAAGGCGATAATTTGTCAACCTATGTATATGTCAGTCAGAGCTTATATGATAGTCTCTAGCCAGGGCTTATCATGCTAGCTTTGAGATGAGCTTATTCTAGGACTCGTATAATCGTTGGAATGGAATCGTTGGCTTCCGAATCGTTTGCTCCAAGGTTTCTGTTGTCTAGGCGTTATTCAACATTTCGCAATTTGTCTACCGGATGACAGTACATTTCCCGTGCGATAGACAATTTGTAAGCGGTACAGGTGTTTTTTGATAAACGAAACAGACAGCATGCCGCGTCTTCCGCCACACTTTCTTGGTAAAAGATAGTCAGAATATGCCACTAATGAAAGTACAATTTGCACTTCCATTGCCACAGTTATGATATGGTCCATTTTGGCCATGCCAATTCTCTGCGACAAGCCAAAGCACTTGGCGATAAGGTAATTGTGGGCATTCACACCGACGCTGAGATAACCAAACACAAGGGGCCTCCTGTCTTCACCGAGGAGGAGCGCGTCAAGATGGTTAAGGGCATCAAGTGGGTCGATGAGGTGGTTCTCGGTGCCCCCTATGTGACCACCCTGGAGGTTCTCGATCAGAACAACTGTGATTTCTGTGTGCATGGTGGTAAGTACCCAAATATTATGATCTACTCCATTGCAACACGCCTTAGCTTGTGTTTTTAATTGCAGATGATATTACAATGACCGCTGAGGGTGTCGATACATATCATCTGGTCAAGTCGGCCAATCGCTACAAGTGAGTACTGCCTGAAAGGATTGTTTCTTTGAGCAAAACCTAACATTTTCCCTATCCAATCAACAGGGAGGTACGACGCACAGCTGGCGTCTCAACAACCGACTTGGTGGGTCGCATGTTGCTGCTGACCCGCAACCACTTCCGCCAGGGATCCGCCGAATACGACATCGAGAAAGAAGGTAGCTTCCGCTTGTTCCGTTCCCCTGGCTTTCATATCGTATTAAGTTTCATTTTTGTCCCTAAAATGCCCATCGAATCACAGCCGCCAGCACAGATCCTTGTTTCACTGAGTGTTCTGTTCCATTCAGTTCTATCATTATTAAAAAATACTAACTTTAGACTAAGGTTTTTACTTTCACCTCTCTTCCCCCCGGACTGTCTCCTTCCGTTACGTTACTCTTTGCTGTACGTTGCTCTGCATGCTGCGCGTAAACCTCAAATCGAATCTCAGTTCCAAGTATGAACAATTCATATACTATGTAGCTCTATATATTGTACAAGTGGCAACAAGAAAAACCTTTATCAGCTCCACACGAGATGTCAGAGAAATGCAATATATGCAACAACATACATGGCATGTGCATGAAGGTTTTAAGGGTTGTTTTTGTTGCAATAGTTGGCATCCGCACGCTTAGCCTACGCTCTTAGATGAGCCTTTATCCTTTTCCCAACCGTGCCCGTACCGTTTTTGACTTGTTTTGATCGGTGTGACTAATCCTTTGACTTATGTTGCTCTATACATCTTTACTATTTCTCTTCTTTTTATTTCTATGTACGCACTGTTTACCACTAACAAAAACCAATATAATCTACTACTCGTATATGCAAATCTATGCTAAATCCTCAAATGCCACATACCAAATGCCCTGTGCGTGTGCGCCACCGCGAAATGAATGACAAATGAAATCAATGAAATGTATTAAAACTATGACCTGCAATGACCTGCTATCCAAATCAAAAATGAATTCAAAACCAAATCAAATCCCGTAAATCTTAATGTAAATGTAAATGCCAATGCTCTTATCTTAAACACTACACTGCTCTCTCATTCGTCTGTGTTCGCTTTCCAAAACCAATTACCAAACAAATTGCATAAACAGCGAAAATGTTAAAACTACTACAAATAAAATCCCATCCAGGTTCTTCGAATATGGGTCAAGATTCAGCTGCCAAGAGCCCCTGGACCGGCTGCAGTCAATTCTTGCCCACCACACAAAAGATAATACAGTTCAGCGATGGCAAGTCACCAAATGCCGGAGATAAGATTGTAAGTGAACGAGACAGCCTAAGCAGTAACTAGTTTTAAGTCTAACCTTTTTTTTCTTCTCAGGTGTATGTGGCTGGAGCCTTTGATCTGTTCCATGTCGGTCATTTGGACTTCCTCGAGAAGGCTAGCAAGCTGGGCGATTATCTGATTGTTGGGCTTCACACAGATCCCGTGGTCAATTCGTACAAGGGAAGCAACTATCCCATTATGAATCTGCACGAGCGCGTGCTGAGCGTATTGGCATGCAAGGTACTATCTGCGTCTAAGTCTGTCTTAGCTACTCCTTTTTAACATTTATTTTCTCTTGCATAGTTTGTCAATGAGGTGGTGATTGGAGCGCCGTACTGCGTAACCGAAGAGCTGCTTGAACACTTCAAGATCGACGTGGTCTGCCATGGACGCACTCCCATTGCGATGGAGGATGGCAAAATTGATCCGTATGCCGTGCCAAAGACGAAAGCCATTTTCGAGCTGATCGACTCTGGCAATGAGATGACAACTGAGCGCATTGTGGAGCGCATCATCTCGCATCGTCTGGAGTACGAACGCCGCAACCAGGCAAAGGAGAAGAAGGAAATCGAGGCATTTGAGGCGCTGCAGCGGCAGAAGCAGACCCAGAAGGCGGGCTAGCAGTAGTAGTACGTGGAGTAGCAGTCCCCCGCCCTCCTTCCGATTTCACACACTCGACGGATGTTTTATTTTATATTATTTTAGTTTCGTTTTTTAGTTTTTCGTTTTGTTTAGTGTTTCTAAGTTTTTAGTTGGGCTTTGTTTGTCCCTTGTTTCGTTATATGTTATGTTCAAGGCGTTCAAGGCTTGGCGGCACTCAAGCAACACTGCAAACCCCACTCGCCAGCGGATCGGCTTGTGCGAGCACATCTCGTTTTCTAGTACAATTTTTTAATAGCTGAGGGCTCGCAGTCGTGTAGGCAGGAGGCTCTCTGCAAGCCTCAATGATATACAGTTATATAGATCGATATATATATACATAAACACTACGATAATAGCATATTTATAATCTAAATTGTATGTAAGCTCAAAATTGTAAATTCTATATACTCTGTAATAAGTGTTCGAAAAGCAAGAGTCACGAGCGTAAAGCAAAACTCTCAAAATTGTACGAAATATATGTGTATGTTTAGGCCAAAATCAAAGAACTTGTCTTATCGGCTATCTATAGTATCCCTTTACCAGCCTAGCTTGTGCTTGAAATTGTAAATACAAATGTGAACTTTAGCCGCAATAGGAAGGAAGTCTCTAATCTCTAATATTTTTTCTTCAAACACACATATATCCATCCTAGTGCAAGTTCTTGTCCGTTAATTTCCTACTCCTAATGTTTTATGTTCAATGTCTAGCTCTAGTTTAAAATATATTTATGTACATGGCCAAAAAGTAATCCAAAAAAATGAAAGCAAATTTATATAGTACTTTGTTATCGACTAAATCTTCTGTTTGCCGAGTAACTTTAGCTCCACTTTGAGCAGCTGCTGCCACACATCCAAGTCCATTAGTCCGCGCAGATCATCGACGCCCATGAGCATGGCGTTGCTGTCGGTTTTGATGAACTCCTTGCAGTCCTGGGTCGCAGAGGCGGGGCGAGCCTTTACGGTTTTGTAGTAGCTGAGCGAAGGACCTGCCTGGACCAGTAGGCGCAGGGAGACCGACGCATTCTGCAGTGGAGTGGTCACCCAGATGACCAGCACGTCATCAATGTCTGGTTTGCGGTGCCACAGCAGAGAGTGCTGGGTGCGACAGCCAAATACCATGAGGACGCCGTGCTGCGAATACTTGCGATACTCCGACGGCAGATGAGTGTTCCGGGCACACTTCAGCGGGTTGAGGCCTGGTCGACGGTACCCAAAGACTCCCAGAAGCGTGTTCACATCGTGCTCCAGACTCCTGACATGGCAGCTCATTGATGCCTTATTCTCTGGCCCTAGCTCCACAAACGGAAGCCCCATGCCGTGCTGATGGTCCCTTATATAATGGCCCAGCAGATCACTAGCGTCCAGGGAGCACTGGCAGGCATGGCAGGGACAGGAAATCAGCCGAAGGCGTGAACAGTTTGAGTTGTTTCTGGCTGTCCCGAGTAGGGACGACTTTTTAATGCTGGGCTGTGATGTGATTGACTTGTACTCGTATCGGTTCATTCTCAGGAAATCATCCTCCGACGTCGAGGCCTTGGCTTCCGATATGGGAAAGTTCACGCTGGCATATGAATGGGTTTCCTTTACATGACGTTCCCTACGTTTGTTCATCTGCTTTATGTGACTGGAATCTGTTTTATTTAAAGCGAGTGAAAGGTCGGAAGTAGGATGGACATGGTGGGAAGCTCGGCAGACGGAAACCTGATTAGACGGCATAATTTTGAAGGGAATTTAAAAATGAACTTGACAACTTTCGCTATGGGACGCAGAAAACCACACAGAACTTATCCGCATTTCCAATTTAATTTTTGTAAGTATGTATTAATTATTGGCCCAGCAACCGAAGCCGCCGGGCACTACGAAAAAATTCATTTTAGACTCATTAGAGTGCCCCTCTCCACGGAAATCTTTAGTAAAAGGCGAAAGATTTATTCGACAATTGAAGAGAAGCCAGAGTGACTTTACACATCCAAACATGTTCAACCTAAAATAAGCCTGGTCAGAACTGGTTGGGAATTGCAAGAGCAAACTTTCGCCATACCGAAACTGGGGTTGTTGGATGTGCCAGTTTTATGTGAACTTTGCTCGCTGAGAAATACATGGTGCGGTCTTGTCGACAAGCATGTTAGCTTTAATCAACGACTATACTACAATTTTACTGTATTGTTTGCTTTAATAATTGAATTTAATTTCTATCTACTATCTACCATACACTATACTATGCCATACATTAATATATATGTAATTTATACCATACATTTAAAATGATATTATATATTATATTTTGTATATATATATATGTACTTCAAAAAGAGTAGAGTACATACATACCTGAAAGATAACAACCATTAACTTATTATGTTAGTGGAGCATTTTAAATAATATAGTTTGGTTATATTTACAGTATAGTTCACGAAACAGCCTCCAAAAGTATTGTATGGTACACACATTTCACTCTGCCACGAATAACACAACAGCCCGACGGAAATTTCTGATACCGAAACCAGCACACACCCCTGAAAGCATAAGGCATGCCGAGGCAATCTGGTCTTTAGCAATAATAATTCCCAACTGGTTCTGGCGGCGCGCTTATCGTGTGATGGCTGTTTTACTGTTGCTAGTTATCGCTTCTCGGCCTTATGGCTAAGATCAAAGTGTAGTATCTGTTCTTATCAGCTTAACATCTGATAGTTTCTCCATTGGAGAACAACAAATGTTAAACTGATTTTTGGAATCAGACGGAGTGCTAGGGGCTTGCTCCACCTCTGTCACGGGTTGGCCCGGTATTGCAGTACCGCCGGGATTTCGGCCCAACTAAACAATAAATTTAACAAGTAGCTCAAGAAGGATTTGTAAGAAAATCCGGTTCGGTCTGCGTCTCTGATGTTTCCGTTTCCAATATTCTGTAAATATGAACGGAGGAGGAGTGAGTGTAGCGGGTTGTTGAGTCGTCGTACCGCCCGCTCGACCTTTCGCTCGGCTTTGCTGTTTTCCGGTACCCCGGGGACTCGAAGGTAACGCGCAGAAGGAAACATAAATGCTCGGCAGTCAGTCCGTTTTAAAGAGCGCGTGGATAAAGCCACCAAATGTTGCATCCAGATGGCTAACTATCACACTGTTGCAAGTGTATTTCAAAATAACGCTCCGCCCCACAAAAGTCGAAAATATGCTGTATCCACAATTTTGAAGATAAGAGAAAGGTAAAAACCTTAGGAAATGACAATTTTTATCAGATCACTGAATTGGGATTAGATTGGATCATGCAGTGTGCGTCGCTGGTGGAGGGTGGCGAGCTAAAAGTGCGTGTAGGCGGGAGAAGTGATGTTGATGTCAGATGTAGAAAAAATGTAAAATTAGAATTAACCACTAAGATACTGATACTGACTGACTACCGGGTATACAAGTTGTAAGACAGGTATTAAGTCGTACATTTATTTTGATAATACAACTATTTTTTAATACAGTTTCTTTCCGAATGTGTGTTGGATTTCGTTTCCGCTTTTTGGTACATTTAAATCGGTTTTAATACAAAGTTGTCCGGAGCGCTCACTTCTTAAGGGCGCCTTCAAGATTTCTGGCCATAATACGCAAGTAATTAATAATATGTTATGATAAACAGTTTGAAAGTAAAAAACAATAACGATATCGAGTCGAGTCGAGAAATGTTCAGCAATTACGATACGTTGATACATTTTGCCATACGACGACTATATTTGGTTTTCGGTGTTTGGTTTCGCTTTTTGAAAGGAAAATTTCAACTACGGAACAATCTGGCTAGCTGGCTGTGTTGCTGCTCCTGGATCCTGGCTAACTACTACTACTAAGTTTAGTATGTATTACTGGTGAATAGCTGCGCTATGTTTTCTCTACCGATAACGTGTCAACCGGAACGAACAATGATGCGCTTTTTCTTTTTTTTTTCTTTAGTGAGAACCAACCACTACTACGTTCAAGTTATTTGAAGAAGGAAGAGATTTGTGATGTGTGTAACGTATACAATGCAATAGATCTACAGTTAAAGAGTGTGTGTTGTTTCTTTGCGTTTTGGGCGTGCATAAAACGACGTGAGATTATGGGGACCAGACTCTTAGACCACCACAGCACCGGCCTCGGAACGGCTAACTGGCAAATCTGGGCAATTTTTCCAAGAGTCCGACAGAGGGTCATAGCATTCGACAGCGTTGATGGTGACTTGTGCTCGATAGAAGTTTACCTCGCAGGGCTGCAACGAACAATTGATTATGAAATTATTCAAAATGATGGATTCAATTGATTACCTGATCCCCACCAGCCACATAGAGCAGGCCATCCGCAGCGGCTACAGCAGGAATGGCTCGTGGCACGTTCAACGCACAGACCATTGTCCATTTGTCCTCGTCAAAGCTGTAGCGCTCCACAGAGCTGAGAATGTCCTGACTGATGCTACTGCCACCCACCACATACAAGTAGCGGTCCAGAACGGCCACGCCCATTTGGCAGCGAGCCGTTTGCATGCGGGCCAGCTGTGTCCACTCCTTGGTGACTGGATTGTAGCTGAAAGTAATACGGGTGAACGATCAGAAGATGAACTATGATTTCACATATGGGATACAAACCTTATCAAGTCTGGCAAATGTCGAGTGGTTGTTGTGCAGCCGCCCACAATGTAGATCAGACCCTCGAAGCTGACCACACCCATGCTGAAGCGTGGCTGCGGCATGCTGCCCATTAGTTTCCAGAGATCCTGCTCTGGGTCATAGCACTCCATGGTGCCGCCAATGTCGTCGCCAATCCAGCCGCCAACAGCAAACAAATTCCCGCCCATGGTGCAGAGTCCAAACTCGCAGCGAGGCACAATCATCGGCGAAATGGGCTGCCATATGTCGTTTTGGGGATCGTAGACTTCGCCATTGGCCAAAATCTGGGAGCCTCGTTCGCCTCCCACCACGTAGATCTTGCCGTTTAGGGCCGACACTCCCGGCAGTATGCGCCCCACCTCCATGGGAGCTGTTTCAGTCCACTCGCGTCGAAATATATCAAACTTGGCCACCGTCTCGAAGATGCAGTCTGCCGAGTTCCAGGTCCGTGGCGTATCCCTGTGGGACCCTCCAATTATGTATATGTTCTTCTTGGCCAGCTGACGGGGGCAGACACGCAACGGCACCAACTGGCCTCGCTTCGAGGCAATGTCCCGACAAATCGAGCGTAGCGCAATCTTCACCGACATGTCGCGACAGTCGTCTTTGAGAGCCTTGTCGATCACCTTCACGGGAACGAGCGCCATGCGTACGTGGGACAGTATATCGAAAACATAGCAGCGCCGCTGCGTCACATCGTGTTTGATCCAGCGCAGAGCCGCCTGGAACACCTGCGATTCAGAGTCCACACGCAGAAGCTCGGAGTTTAGCAACTGCGACAGCAGAGCTTGCGGTGTTTCCAGGAATTCATCCTCCAGGGTTATCTGAGGGTGGAAACACAGACACCGTTTTTTAGATTTAAATATCCCTTCGTCTATCTTTAAGAATATGGGATATAGAAATATCGCAATCTTCCAAATCCTTCTTGAGCTACTTGTTAAATTTATTTTTTAGTTGGGCCGAAATCCCGGCGGTACTGCAATACCGGGCCAACCCGTGACAGAGGTGGAGCAAGCCCCTAGCACTCCGTCTGATTCCAAAAATCAGTTTAACATTTGTTGTTCTCCAATGGAGAAACTATCAGATGTTAAGCTGATAAGAACAGATACTACACTTTGATCTTAGCCATAAGGCCGAGAAGCGATAACTTGAAATTGTCAAACAGCCACGACACCAAAAGTGCTCCGCCAGAAACAGTTGGGAATTATAATTCAAGTCCTTTTACATATATAGCGGGGTTGGAAACATATCTCCCAAAAGAGTGTTTTGACATTGTAGAGCTGCTCAGGTTGTCGACATTTCAGGTAAAGTTCAGGCTAAGAATTCCCAAACAGTTCTTGAAGGGCAGGTATCGACCAGCACTGGGTTTGGTGGTGTTAAGTCACTCTGGCTTCTCTTCAATTGTCGAATAAATCTTTCGCCTTTTACTAAAGATTTCCGTGGAGAGGGGCACTCTAATGAGTCTAAAATGAATTTTTTCATAGTGCCCGGCGGCTTCTGTTGCTGGGCCAATAATCGATACATATTTGAATGTGAAAATAAACTATACATACCGCTGGAAAGTTGGCATGGACAAAGTTAAGTGCACTCTTGGCCAATGATTCACAATTGTGCGCTTCGGCGAAACGTAGAATGCCCAAGGCATTGGAGGCGTGCAGCTCGCGGCAGAGAAACTCGCAGCAGCCGTCGACGATCTCATTGAGCTGGAGCATGTCTGCAGCGGCGAGGAGCTCTTGGACATTTGACTGCAAAAAGAAAGAAGAGTGTGAGGAACGAACCCACTACACGTCGAAGTGCAAATTGATGGTACCTGTGTGATCTCACAGCGTCCCGTGTAGATAAAGTCGAGCAGAATGTGCAGTATGTCTCCATCGATTGTGTGCAAGACCACCGATTTCTGTTTGACCTCGTTTAGGCCGAGTTCGGGCCGAAACATGGCCTCGAAGTAGGCACTGGCAGCACTCAGCACCGCTCTGTGGGCGTTGAGGGTAGCGTCGCCTGCGACGATCTCGACGTCACAGAAGCGAGCCTGCTCCCTCAGCTGGTTAAGATTGGACAGCACTTTGAAGGGATACTGGGCGTTGCAGTAGGAGGGAAGATTTGTGCGTTGTGTGGAGGCCTCCGCCCCTGATCCTGGCGTACCCTGATTGACCTGCCCAAAGAAGTCGCTGTCGTTGGTGGGATTTGGGTTTTGATTTGGATTTGGATTGCCATTGTGACAGTTTGCGTTGTATTCGTGGTGTATGGAGTAGGTTTTCTGCGGTGGCATTTCGTTTTCTTTCCTTCGGTATGTTTGTTTGTTTGTTTGCTCGGGTTTCCTTGTTTCGTACTCGTACTAATAAATGCACTGTTGGGGCAGCAGCTCAGCCTTTTCACATTCAATTAGATATCTTAATTAAAGTTAATTGCTGCACTCTGCACCATTTAGCCTGTGCGTTGTTGTATTTGGGCTCATTTTTCATCAATCAAAAAGAATCACACACACCCCCGACTGCGACGGACTCACACACAGGAAAAAACGAACACTGGAAAAGTTTAAACGCATTCCCCAACACGGATAGAGGTTTTCTGGCATTGATTTTGCTTGATCTAACGTTACATTTACTGCACTTTAGCGACTATGCTAATACAACTATTCCATATTTAGTTATTAACTAAAAACTAGCGTATTTTTCTTAGCTTTTGCATGTAGTTCAGTGTGACCGTGGAATTATCGATAATATATACCGACACTCGGGAATACAACGAAATAAACGCTTTCATTATCAAAATATACTGTAAATATACCGTAAATCTTAAATCATTTACAACGAGTTTAATCTTCTGTTTAATATAACCAGCTTGTTAGGACTCTCAGCTTTTAAACTGCCAATTTACTAGAATCATCATTCGATTCTCCACAACATTGGCTATTTCCTTTGTTGGATTTTTTCCAAATTAAGTTTAAAACTAAAAAGGTCAACCAATAAAAATAGCATAAAACGTTACTTGAGTGGAACGGAATGCAAAGTCAATTGACAATTTGTTGCTTGTCAACCGGGATGGATAGTATAGTAAGGGCGTTTGTATACCCTATTTCAATCAATTAATATTACAATTTCACTTTCAAAGCTTCTCTCAAACATTAATAATGACTCTATCTTAGACTGGCATGTGCATATGTATATCGGCCTAGATATATTCTGGGTATCTGCATAATTTTGTTGAGATGGCTTAACACAATTGTTTTGAATTGATTGGAGGCCGAGATTTCTTAAATTTCTTAAATTCCGTGACAAATGTTGGGGAACATTGCTGCTGGCCCATACAAATTTTGTTGCCAATGGTAAAATACGTAAGTGGGGATGGAATAAAGATTTATTGTTGCAATAAAATTACCATGTTGCGAGACAGAAAAATTCCTTCGAAGAGAGAGAAAATCCACTTTGGCCGTCTGGAAGTTTTGATACCCTATATTCTTGAATATACCATAAAAATGGAATTTAATATACGGTGGAAATTCATTAAATATACCATTATACACCGATGTACCGTAAATTTGAAATGAACCTATTTGTGTATATCCCCAAAAGTATATAATATACATTACATTACAAGTACATGTCATTGGGTATGAAGCAGTGTGACCGTTGGATAAACAAATACTAGAACAGAAAATATACAAAATCATAATTTCACGGCAGTCAGCTTTTTACTGGACTCCAACTTATGTTATTTAATTGTTTTTTTTAAGGAATTTTCAATTGAAATTGCCAAAAATGCTGCTGCGTAAATTGCTAAACGTTCGCTGTGGCCACCTGGTACGGCGCTGGGTCAGCTCTGATCCCCTCAGCCTTCAAAACGAGAAGTTGCAATCGTATTTGGAGTCACTGCGCCAGGAGTACTACGGCCTGCGTGTAAATGCAACCGGCAATAGCAGATCGTACGAGCGGCTCTCTCAGCTGGAGGGAGTGGTTAACGCCCTGGAACAGAGGCGTGTCCTGGAGCTCAACATTACCAGTGCCAAGGACATTGAGCAGGAGAAGGATGAGGATATGCGCAAGCTGATGGAGGAGGAGAACGAGGTCTACGCGGATCTGCTGAGCAAGCAGGAGAAGACCATGCTGCAAGAGCTGATCGCCCTGGCCGACGACGAGGTCTATCCGGCGCTCATTTTCGGAGTGAATGCTGGAGCTGGGGGGCAGGAGGCCATGCTGTTTGCCCAGGAGCTCTACGAGATGTACACCAGCTACTTTGAGCACATGGGCTGGGAGTACGAAGAGTTTGCCCGCGAAACGACCGACATAGGTGGCCTGAGGCATGCCAACGTCATGGTCAGTGGTGCGGACGCCTTCCATTGGCTTCGCTTTGAGGCGGGCGTCCATCGAGTGCAGCGTGTCCCTGCCACAGAGAAGTCCGGCCGGATGCACACAAGCACAGCCTCCATTACTGTGATTCCCCGACCAGCCGATGTCCATGTTCACATAGCTGAAAAGGATCTTAAAATCGAGACGAAACGGGCCAGTGGAGCGGGCGGTCAGCATGTGAATACCACCGACTCGGCTGTGAGAATTGTCCACCTGCCCACTGGCCTGGCAGTGGAAGCGCAATCGGAGCGCTCCCAGCTGAAGAACCGCGAGCTGGCCATGAAGCGTCTTCAAGCGCGACTGGTGCAGCAGCAGCTGGAGAGCTCAGAGGCCAGCAAGCAGGCCACAAAGAAGGCGCAGCAGGGCAGCCTCAACAGGAACGAAAAGATTCGCACATACAATTTTGTGCAGGATCGGGTCACGGACCACAGGATTCAGGGCGGTACACTCCACAATCTGGATGGGTTCCTCAAGGGTGGCGAGCCGCTCACTGGACTGGTCGAGAAGCTTCAGCTGGAGCACCGTAGAGAGCGGCTCAGGGGCCTCTTGGAGGCGTGGCGGCCGCCACAGGAGGCAGCTAACAAAGATTAAAGATTAGAACACACTGGAAGCCTTCATTTGTTGTTATTTAATACATAAATGTTACACAAATTCATAATATAACTATCGGTGGCTTTAAATCATCATCCAACTCTGGCCCAATCAGCCGCACTGCCGATGTGCAGGAGATGTTCCCTGACAGCCGCCTCCAGAATGTCGCGAATCTCTCGACAGCCAGCCATTGCCGTCTCGATGACGGTCTCCAGATGGTCAATGTGAAAACGTTCGCTCATCTCGAGGAAGGCAATCTTCTCGGCCGTGGGCAGGGCAGCCACTGTGAGCATGGGCCCGCCGGAAACCTCCTCAGTGTGCGATATGTCGGTTAGGGGGATGCTGTTTTTGCTCAGCGAGGCGGTGCAGGCGACAATAAACTCATTCAAGCAAATGCCGGCATCGATCAGGGCCAGGGTGGCGACATTTAGGGCAACCGCATAATTGGCTCCATCTGCTTGGAGAACCTCAACGTAAATGTCGATCTGGGAGCGTGGGTACAGCTCGGACTTGATGGCCGCACTCAGGGCCTGTTCCAGGTACATTTTGAACTCCAGTGACTTTCGATCTCCTCGCGGACGGTTCTTTCTTTCCGCCGTGGCGAATGTGGCCTGGCTGTACTGGCAGTTGATGATGACATCGTTCGTCTCTGCTTTCATTCCCTTCGCTTGATGGGGTCCATATACAGCAGCCAAGACTTTTGTGTTTCCTTGTTCCATGTATGCGCTGCCGTCGGGCTGCTCAAACACTCCCAATTTGCACTTGATGTGGCGCAATTCGTGTGGTCTCCGGCCATCTAGGCGGAGGCCCTGCTCACTGAGCAACTCAAAATTACCGGCCATAGGTTTAAATGGAGTTTAAAAGTTTATTTAATAGGTTGCTGCACGTGTGCTGCGTTTTGTTTACAATTTTCGTGTAGTGCTGGAAAATGATTATTGTTTGGTAGCGCCAAAATGAGACCGTATACAATGTACTCATTCGTGGCTTACAAATTCCCACCATTGTAGAAAATTGATTAATCTAACAAAAAACAACAAAAAAGGAATGCCTGCCCATTGTCGACCATGTTGTCGACCAGTGGTATTTAAAACTAAACAGCTTCTATTATGAACATTGAAACATTTTAGCGCAGTTCAGGTGAAAAATATTATGGGCATTCTTGCTTTATAACTAAATCGATAATTCGGTATTTAATATAGTTGTTAATATTTTACGGTATTTTTCTGAGGGTCAGACGGTATATAATATCAAGGTAAAAGCGGTCACACTAATCTAAAAATAAAAATAAGTTCCAGTGCAAAAAAAAATAAAAAATTGTTGAAATATAACTAGTTCTAGACTTATTAAGGAAGTATTCTGCTAAGAAAAAGGTGCGCGTTCGACTAGCCACTCCCAACAATGTCCAAGTCCAGCGCAGGTATGTACAAATCAATAGAAAAAAGAGTGCAAGCCGAAGAGACGCCCGCCTCCGGTTACCCACTAAACCAAAATAAATACAAATAGACGGCCCTGTATATTCCAGAATAGCCAATAAATAACCAACATTTCCTCTACGCACAGCACGTTGGGTGAAGTTCTTCAATGCCGCTGGTATACCATCGCCGGCGGCTGCAGATTATGCACACATGTTCGTTGAGAACCGGATTCAGGAGGACATGCTCCTGGACCTGAACAAGGAGTACTTGCGGGAAATGGGTATCACGCTTATGGGTGATATAATAGCCGTACTGCGCCACTCGAAGAGCGTATACGAGCAGAATGCGCGTGATATGGTTCTCACGGTTGATCCCGTAGCACTGGCCGGTGTCGCCCCCTCCCCCGTTGTCAAGTCGGTGGCTGCTACAGTGTCGACTGGTTCCAAGCGGAAGGCGTCACCTCCCAGAAAGCCGGCGAGACGGGTTCTACCCGAGCATGAGGGCAAGTATAAGGTTACACTGCCCTTAGGAACCACCGAGCGAAGCAAACAGATTCTAGCCAAGCGGGAGAAACGTGAGTCTCGCCAATTGAATAATGCTAGAAGATCAGTTTCTATATTTTTTGTGTGGTTGCAGTGTATTCAGATCGCGTGAGCAGCACCAAGAAGTCCGACATCTTTTCACGCCTACACAAGCCGGCCGAAAGCGACGATGAGGCCCAGGAAGGCATTGTGTCCAGCTCGGGCGAAAGCAGCGTCCGCGTGCACATCACCGGGATCAAAAAAACAGCAGATACCAGCAGCAACAGTTCGGTGTTTGCGCGACTCGGCGGCAAGCACACATTTGATTCACCCCAGACCTCTGGCACTTTGACTAAGGAAATCAAATCGATTTTGAAGAACACACAACGCACCGTCAGTGGAGGAGCAGGAGTGAGTAGGAATTCGCCCATAGTCAAGGCGAAGAGAATAGCTTCGACCGCTGTTTCGACTGCTACTGCGCTGCAGCCGCAGCAAAAGGTGATGCTCGTCCACAAGGTGCCATTGAAGAAGTGCGACGATAGTGAGGACGACAGCATGGTCAGTGGCGATGATGATATTCAAGTGTCGTTCGACTCTAGCGATGGGAGTGATGTCGAGATGTCAGGCGGTGAAAAGAGTGTAAAATTCGCCTCCGTTGCGGAGGTCAGGGAAATCGCACCACAGACCGCTTACAAAGCACGACACGGCAAGAATCTGGCCAACAATATCAAATCGCGTTTGGGAATGGGTAAGGCGATTTCCACAGCTAGCAATTTACCTGAAATTATTCCCCTGTTAATCGTTGCAGTGTCCAAGCTTCATGCCACAAAGAAGACATACAATCTGAAGGCGTCACCCTCGAAGAAACCGCAGGCTCGCATCAGTCCCGTCAAGGGCAAGACCATACGCATGCGCAGCGATGAGCTGCTAACCCGACAGGACACTCTGTCGGTGCACAAGAGATTGGGCAGTGGCCCAGCCCCAGTCCCTGCCAAAATGGCTCCTCCGCCCGTTTACCGTCAGCCGCGGCAAGAGCCGCCAAAGTACGTGCCCCCACGTCGTTACAACAGCATGAATGCTGGCCGCAACAAGCCACGCGGCGCCCCCAGCTCTGTCTTTGATCGCTTGGGCTTCAATAACTCTATGTAAAACTTTGTATGCGTGCCCCACGAATTGTTTAAGTTCTTTCTTTGGTCCCGTTAGTTAACCAGTAAAAGTTTAAAAGTCTATAAATAACGTAATCAACCGAAACTTTAGTATTGTTTGGTAACACACCCAACGAAGCCCAAACTTTCCCATAGTCCCTCAGTCGCTGTCTCTTCTTTACCCCCTTGCAAATCAAGAACAAACAGAATCATTAAGTTACGATCTACAATTTATTAGTTATGTTAAATATATGTTTAGCAGTTATATACAATTATGGTCTACAATTTGGTCTAGAATCTAGAGTATCATATCATAGTTGAAATCATTTGCATAGAGGCTTTATATGTACAATCTGTCTGCGGGCACTTAAAGTTCTATTATCACTTGGTTGCTAGGCAAATCACTCCCTTCGTTCCGTTCGGTTCCATCTGGCACTTCCCCTTTGCTTTCTGCTCACTGCTGCAGCAGTGCTTGCAGGGCCCGACGCCATTCGACGGGCCAGGTATTGGCATCCGGATTGATGCTGAGCAGCTGGCGCATTTGGAGTGCGGCTCGCTGCTTCTGGAGCACATAGGCGAAAGCCTGATGATTCAGCACAGGTGACGGTGTGGCAGTGGGTGTAGCCAGATATTGGAGCTGCTGTGGCTGTGCGTACGGATATGAGTGCGAGTGCGTGTGAGAATGCTGCAGCTGTGGTGGAGTAGTGGGTGGTGTGGGTGGCAAAGTATGCTGCACCTCTCGCTCCGATTCCTGGCGACGTTTCCGCGGTGTGTTCTCGCTCAGGGCATATGGCCGGAACAGAGGCGTACTTGTGCTTGTGGCGGTAGTGGGGGAAACTTGCTCCTTGCTGACACTCTTCTTGCCGAACTTTTTGTGCGTATAGTTGGCGGTCTGAAATTTCTTGTGCGTATAACTGGAAGCAGCCTGCGCGCTGTCTCCTCCGATGGTGTGGTAATCCAAGTTTGAAGGTGCCATAATGTATGGTTGATTTTAGTTTTTGTTGTGCGTAGTTTAGGTTGATGTTGTCTTGTTGGTGGCTAAGGCTCGACTGTGTTCCTGGCCACTGCGCAACATTCCTTTATATACGATTGCGCTCTGGGTACCTGTGGACCCGTAGAAAATTATCATTAAGGTGGTGTGCGCCTTGTTTATGGGAAAATCTTCGTTGACAAAAGGTTGCCATTGTCATAAAAAGAAAAGGATTTCGTGTCCAACACCCACTACCTACTGTGTACCACTGTCTCTATCTCTCTGTGTGTGTGGATGCGCAGGTAACACCCAAAGTCCTTTGTAATTAATTTTTCATTTGCCGCACTCGGCTCGCACCTTCTCTTGTCTTGGCCAGACTGTCTTCTGCCTGCCCGACTGCCTGCATGTCGGTTCTGTTCTGTTCTGTTCTGTTTTTCCTAGTAATTTCTGTTGAACATTTCACTAGAACAATCTCCTACCTCGAGACAACAGCGCCTGCGCTTGCCATTCTTTGATGATTTCCAATGTCGTCTCCATGCGCACAGAAATGGAATGAAAATCTTATCTCGCTTACCGCTAATCTGCCTCATTAAGTTGTGCCATGGGTTCAGGTTCAGCTAAGGCTCTGGCTCTGGCTCTTGAGAGAGAGACTCTCTGGCTTAGTCATGGCTCGCTCAGTCTGTTGCTGAGTGAATGGAAATTTATTGGGATTTTCCCGAAACGTTGCGTGTCTCTAGTTTCCAGATCATTTTGTACTTTAGAGATTTACAAGTTTATTGATGTTTGAGACCAGATATACGACAGCGATAAGGTTGATTTAAAATGGTAGCAAAGGGAATACAAGGAAAACTATTTGAAGGCATTTCGATTTAGACAAAATATATGCAATTAAATGAAAAGTTTATATTAAAGTCTTACTCGTAGTGCCTAAAAATCATCTGTATTTACCTTTCCCACACTTAAGCAGCTGTGATTCTGTGAATATCCTCCTGGGAAGAAATCTACTCTCGATTCAATGTTATACAATGCGACACATCCAGAGAAAGCACTTCCTGGTAGGTGTTTGTCAATTGTATCCTCCACTCAGGTCGCAGGTCATTCCCCCTGCCAAGAATTAGGAAGCAAAATCGATTCATTCCGTTACAGATCGATGTGATAATGTAGATTGGACAATCAAACAATATGACAATCTTTCACTGTACTACTCGAAAGTGAACAAACAACAATTCCCATCCTGTGCATTGACTCGACATCTTGTCGAGGGCTGGTCTCAAACCCACCTGAAATAAATCCGCTTAGGAAAAGTGGAAAACAGACAGCCAGCCATTTCTGACTGCATAAATCAATGGACAAAGGAGAGTGAATGGAATGAATTGGAATCCGACATAATGCCTGAACAGAGGAAATATTCAGTAAGGCCAGAACAGAGGAAACATTCAGTAATAGCCGAACTTCTTGGATCTAAGCCAGGAGTAGGAGGAGAGAAGATAGACGATTTTTCAGCTGGACAAGCTGAAGTCATAAATGCGTGTTTGTCAGATCGGTTTCTGGAATGGGACTGTGACTGTTTCTGTATCTGTTTCGGTGTCTGCTATTCAGGTGCCACAAAGGAAGCCGAAACAAAAGCGGGCCAGCAGACAGCGTGGCCATATTGAGCGCCAGGATTACACAGATCTAAACCGATCTGATCCCATACCCCTGCCCATGGTCACAACAGGTAATTCCGTTGAAAATGTCTGGCGATGTAAACAGCCCAAGGAGAGAGACTGAGAGAGATCAGAGTAAAAGGACAACAACTGGTTTATGACACCCCAGGGTGAGTGGAGTGGAATTGAATACCAGCCGGCGGATTAAGGACAACCTAGGGGCTAGGGACTCCCTGGCCCAAAACCCCTACCTGCGCGGCTACCTGAACCAATCGAGGTGATTAGTTCGGGCCATCTTTGAGAATGAATGAACTATGATTGGGAAATACCTGCACGGACGGAGGGACGGGAACAGGGATGGGTGGGAAAATCTCTTGGATTTATTGGTAGCCAGCAAAGTAGGCTTTCCGATTACCTAATATTGCATAAAAGTGTCAGCCGGGAGGAGGGGCAGCACAGTCGTCTCACAGACACTAAAGCACACACACCTCCCACCACAAGAGCAATCTAAGCCAACCACCTACAGCATATCCTTACCATGGACAACTACAACCATAAGAAATTCACTGGAGCCCTGAAGCGCAAGCGGTGCCACGAGGAGGAATCCGACGATGATGTGGTCTTCATTATGGAGCAGTGCGGAAATCGCACACCCGAGCAGCCGCAGCCCAAGCGCCGCTTCTTCCGGCCCTGGCTGGACGAGTCGGTGGCCCCGGAACAGGAATCCCAAACGGCACGCTCCCGCAGCCCGGCTAGCCCACCACTTGTGGATGCCACATCGACTTACCACGCCAACATGGTACGCTCCCACACTCCCCGGCAGCGCAGTCCCCAGGAGCAGCTGCGTCGGGACCGCAACACCTTGGCCAGCCTTCGCCACAGACGCCACAAGCAGCAGGAGCAGGCTCTCATGGAGCAGCAGTACTTGGACTATCGGCGACAGCACGAGGCCAATCTGCAGCAACAGGTCCGGCTGAGCCTCTACTATGTGAGGTTTCTGCAGCAGACCATGGCCGCCACCCGAGAGCCACTGCACCCCTCCAGCCATCAGCAGATGCCCAGAGCTCAGCCAACGACCCAACATTCTTGGGGAGTCTACAACTAACTAATTTTAGAGCCGCTCCTATAGTCTTAGTCTTTATAACTTTTATTTACTCCTAGCGACCTTGTGATGACTTTTAAAGTCTTATTAATTTGATTTGTTGACAAACAATATATGAGAAAAATTGTTATTGAAATTATTTGAACGTTTTTATTTGTTGAAAAGAGGAGGAGCCACCAAAACCATGACATTTCCAATGTAAACGGAAGCGAAATTTGCAATGCAAAAATCGCATTCGAATACTTCCTTTCCACTTAAAAGATTTATATTTAATGATCATTTCGAACAGTGACATAATTCTGGAGACATTAATGCCAAATTGCAGAGGCATATAAATTAATTGAAGACAATGGAAATGTTATTTATTATAAATCCGCATTGCAATCATTTCAATTAACATTTTCTAAAATAATTGCTCAAGCGATGATCACTTCCAGAGCATAGAATCATGGGCGAAGATCCGGTTTGTGGTTGAAATCATCATCGATGACACTATGGAAATACGACAAAATTGCATCGTAGGTCAAACAGAATATATTTATATGGGGTCAGCGTAGGTAAGAACAATATTTAATTAATACCTAAAGCAAATAAGTATCTCCTATCCCCAGCCCTTTCAAAAGTGCGCATATATTTCTATATGCACTTCCAGCAGCTATAATGTTTATATTTGTTTAACAAAAAGTTAACACTATAGACTTTAGTACTCCAACCATTTGTATAGAAAAATGTTCGATTCCAAATATCATGTATAAATAATCTTTTTTCGTGCGTGTTTAAACATTTCTTAATCAGCGGTCTGTGCCTCAGACCCGCCCATAATTTTCATAATTCTAGCTGCAATTATTAACCGCTGTAGTTATAATTATTGTTCTTGTAATAATTATTAATTTCCGCGGGCTTTAGCAACAGAAAAATTGTGCATTGTCCAAGGTACTCTACGAGTTCAACAAATATCGAAGAAAGTATATACTTCGCATTAGAGGACTGTGAACTTTCAACGATTAGTCGATTAGGTTTTTAGTTAGACGTCCATAAAATCTGGTCATAAAATATTGTGTGTGATGTAAGTTGTTTGTTTTTCATATAAGCATCAGTATATTTATAAGTATGGTTACAGCACTGTAGCTAACTGGGGTTAATTTATGGCTTCAATGGAATATACCAATTTCAGAAGGAATATGCACGTGAGTGATATTCCATTAAAGATCGATCAGGGGTAAGACATGTGTATTTAATAGCAGTTTGCACTAGGCTCCGATTCCAGTATATAACCAGGGTTGGTCAGTTTATAAATCAGAGTTTTCCCAGCTATATCTAGTTTGATCTAGTCCATTTAGATAAGGGAAAACAAAGTATCTGCCATAAAAACGAATATTATAACTACG